GACCAGAACTATTCCAGACATGAGACTTTTAAAAAACTCACATTAAACACTGATATGGCATGTTATTTATGTCACTCCGACATCATTGTGCTGAAGCCAGACAGAAGAAGACACAGCTTGTATTCTGCTGCTGCTGGACGCTGCAACAACCCCTTCATTCAGTGAACAGCATGGACATTTACTGTTGGCTCATCATGTTCAGTGCCAGATATGGGAGGAAAAACAGAGGTGGGGCTGCTTACAGCCGCTTTCTGATTTGTCACTCAGAGCCACGTTGCTGGCAGGGTGTCTAAATGCTATTTTTAGAGCAGAGTGTTAGTTTCCAGCATCGTTTTTACACGTGTCGCTCAGCTAGCGGCAACCTGCTGTTGGTCTTCCCTCTTATTCTCAGAAATTTTTGTGACCTGATCTGAAAGTGAATCTGAGCCGTCCGCAGTTTTTGACTCCGGTGTCTCTCTGTCCCCCAGATCAACCTGGCCCAGCCAGCTGAGGCCATCCACAACTGGATCCGCGGCCATGACAAAGTCCCCGGTGCCTGGACTGTCATTGATGGTCAGGTGCGTTTCCTGGAACTCAGACGAAAATACACACACAGGTTTTGCATTGTAAAGTCAGACTGATACAGGATTGGGTGCTTGATATAGATCCTGATATTTTTGACATGAGGCAGATGGAAGACTGTGAAAAAAATGTGGGATTAAGAATGTTGTAGTTTCACAGTGTGGTAATATTAAACCAATATTAGGCTTATTTTCCTTATATACTTGGCATTTGAAGGTCTTGAAAAGTCTTTTTTAAATTCATATTTTCATTATACTTTTTAGGAATAACAGAAAAAGGGAGAGATCAAGAGAACAAATTAAATAACAAAAATAAATAAATAAATCAATTCCAAAGGAAAAAAAGACATGTAGGCCAATGTTTAAAAGAAAAGAGCAACAATACTGACAATAAGTAGAAGAAGCTTCTAGTCAGCCATACATAAAACAGTCGCAATTAGAAAAGTTGTCTCTAAACATAAGAGCAGTACATTACAGATACAGTTGTTCTACAGGTCTGAGTCCTTTCTCCAGGCTAGATCCCCCAGCCCAAAATCAGTCTTTGGGAATTCTCTGTGTCCATGTAGTCCAAGTACAAGTCCCACATAAAATAAAAGAGAGACAGTTGTCAAATACTGATGTTTTGGGTTGGTGGCTTGAA